AAGCACTTGCTACATTTGGTGGCAAGTTCTTATATACCAATTTCCAGAAACATCACTTTTGGGCTGGGGAGATAGCTCAGTAGAATAAGCACCTGCCTGGCAAGGGCAGGGTCCTAAATTCAATCCCCAGTACCACAAAAAAAAATCCACAGAAACATCACTTTTGTGGAGATTATGTCTTCTGCCCTGTACATATGCACTCTTGTTGCTCATACTTTTTTTCTAGATATACAAAGTGTTATTAAAAAAAATATGGTGAGTGCTGCTGCTGAGGGCTATCCAGCACAAAAACAGCTTCATAGGAACGTTATGGTATGTCCTTACCTATCTTATTCACTGGATCTGGTGCCGTGGGACTTAGGGCTGTGGCCCAAAGTAAAATGACCATGAAAGGGAAATGTGCAGCATCGACTAAAGACCTTAAGACAGTCATGACAGTGCAACTAAAGACATTTACAAAAGAGAACCCAGAACTGCATCAAGGTGTGAAGAAGGACAGGATAATTGTGCTCAAAGGGAGGGGGTCAATGTCAGCGTGTCTTTTACTATAATACTTCTTTTAAAAATTTGTGTATTTGGACAGGGTCTCGCTACACAGCTAGGACTTGTATTGATCCTCCTGTCTCAGCCTCCCTAGCCCTGGGATTACAGGTGTGCACCATCATGCATGCCCAGTCTTGGTGGCCAGCACGGCATGCCTGGGGTTCTGGGGCCAGCATAGCATGATGTACTGGGGATTGAACCGGGTCCTTAAACTTTCTAGGCAGGGGCTTAAACCACTGAGCTATCTCCCCAGCCCCTTATAATACATTTTTTGAACTTAAACATTTGTCAATCACACTTCATGTTCTTCTGATTTATCTTCTGGCAATTTGTTGATTCTTCTTTTCAGCTCTACATATTGTACCTATCCATCAGCCTCTTAGTTTCATTCATTTAGTTTTCACTTCTTCACATGGTTCTTTACCATTATTTTTAAAGTTCTTCACCACAAGTCTCAATCTTGTCTAATTTGATCTCCTTAGATATAGCAAGATAGTTACTTAAAGTTGGAGGTGACCCTACTATGAGTTCTCCCCACATTGTGAGCTTTCCTGTTGCATCTCTTTTTACTAAGCAGGACTCGAAGCCTCATGCATAGCTAATTTAGTGGCACCTCAACTGAACAACTGGGGACACACTTCCTCCGATAGGTAAAAAGAGTCCCAAATCATCCAGATCATATGGGCTTCTAATCCTACCTGCAGACACCTCTAAAGGGGAAACTCGTAGTCCTTTGCATGATGAGAATGGGTTGTGCCCCATCCTCCCATTGCAGGGCCTAGCTTGAGGCCTGCTGCTGTGGGGTGCACTTGAGGTCATTGGGCCTCTCCAGTCCTTGCACAGCTGTGAAAGATTTCAGAGAGAAAGACCTGGCCCTCACTTCCTTCCCTGTGGAATGCTTCCCTGGCACCCAAGGCAGCCTCTTGGGCTTGAGTGATCTCACTCAACAGTTGATTTCAAAATGCCTGCTAAATAACGTTCTTGGAAGGACTAACCCTGACCCTCCCATCCTACGTCAACAGCCTCTGGCCGCTGGCCCTAAATGTGACAACTCAGGAGCTTCAGAGAAGGGTGAAATTACCTGATGGTGGGGCTGGGGCTGGGGGATCTGTTTGTTTTTATAACTGCCTGCAGTATGGAGCTTTAATTCACATACCATATGACTCATCCCCTTAAAATGACAATTCTGTGTTTTCAGTATAGTCTCATGACATTCAAATCTACTTTAACCACTTTTAGAATATTTTTATCATTCTAAAAAGAATCTGCTGATCCACCAGCAGCCACTCCCCATTTCTCCGAATCACCCCACCCCCTGCACCCTGGAAATCTCCAGTCCGCTTTCTGTCTCTATATATGAGCCTGTTCTGGATAGTTCACATAAGTGAAGCCATATAATCCATGATCTTTTGGGGCTGGCTTCTTTGTCTTAAAATAATGTTCTCAAGGTTCACCCACATTGCAGTGTGTGTCCGCACTTTATTCCTTTTGACTGTGGAATAATGTTCCATTGCATAGATAGAACACATTTTGTTTATCCATTCATTGGCTGACGGACATTTAGGATGCGTCCACTTTTCTTTTTCTTGAGACAAAGTCTTCCTAGATAGCGCAGGCTGGCCTTGAACTTACTTATGTAGCTCAAGCTGGCCTCAAGCTCACAATGGTCCTCCTGCCTCAGCCTCCTGAGTGTTGGGATTATGGGCATGTGCCACCACACCCAACTCCACTTTTTATCTTTATGAATAATGCAGCTATGAAGGTCCACGTACAGGCTTGTGCGTGTACACGTGCTCTCACTTACTTTGTATATATATCTAGAAGCAGAATTGGTGGGCCAGGTATAGTCCCATGTTTATGTTTTTAAGACCTTCCACATTGTTTTCCAAGGAAGCTGCATATCTCACCTTTGGGACAGCTCTATGAGGACTCATTTGTCCCCACATCCTCCCCAAGGCTGCTCGTCTGTCTTCTTGGTTACCTGCATCCCACTGGCTGTGAAGCTGCAGTTCACTCTGGGATTGACGTGGGTTTACCTGGTGGCTATCAACATTAAGCATCTGTTCTTACATGTACTGGCTATTTGAATATTTTCCTTGGAAAAAAAGGTTTCTTCTGATCCTTTGCCCATTTTGAATCAGATTATTTATCTTTTTATTATTGGATTGTGAGAGTTATTTATGAATTATACCTTATAATTTGCAAACATTCATTCCCATTTTCTCAGTTGTCTTTTCGCTTTCTTAATGGTGTCTTTTAATTATTTATTTATTTTTCATGTGTTTGGTACAGTGTCTCACTAAGTAGTTTGGACTCGTAGTGAACCTCCTGTTTTCAGCCTCCCCAGCACTGGGATTACAGGTGTGCACCACCACGCCTGGTCTTGGTGGCCTGCTCAGCATACCAGGGGGCCGGGGCCAGTGTGGAATGTGGTGTTGGGGATCCAACCCTGATCTCTGTGCTCGCCTAAGCAGGCGCTTAGTCCGCTGAGCTATCTCACGGGCCCAATGGTGTCTTTCAAAACGTCTAAGTATAAAGTGTTGGTGATACATAATCTAGCTTCCTTTTCTTTTCCTTACATTTTTTTTTAATGTCTACCTGAGGAGCCATTGTCTCATCCCAGGTCGTGAAGACTCATGCCTTGGCTTTCTTTTAAGAATTTTATAGCTTTAGCTATTTATACTTAGGCCTGTGGATTCATTCTGAGTTAACTCTGTATATGGTGTGAGGTAGGGATCCATTTGTATCCAAGGACTTCTTGTTTTACTTATTGTTTTCTATAACATTCTGTGTTTTTATTTTCATTATCTTAGAAAGAATGCCTTGCTTTAGCCTATCTACCATGTCCCAGGAAAGTCAGCTTTCCATCATGCACATTTCTGCAGTAGCCCCGTGGACAGTGATTCTTGGAGATGAGGCTCAGCTGGGGCCTCTTTATCCCACTATTGGCTACAAAGACCCTGAAAACTCTTCATACAAGCGATTCTTTTTCAGCAGAGTCATCAACCCCTTTTGCTAAAACACTAATATTTGTGTTGCAACTGAGTTTGCAAGTCTTTTCCAGAGACCTTCAATTTCTCACTAGCTGGAGATAGAAAGCAGGGATAGGAACCTGTCGAAGTAAACTGCCTAGGGAGGGCATCAGATGAAGCAAGTAACTTAGAGCCTGGCACATAATTCTGAGAAGCCTGGACATCTATGTCCCACTGCAGCCAAAATCCTAGAAATGTCCCCTGGAAGGCCACTCCTTGCTTGTCACTGTTTCCCCAGCACCTAGCACACAGATGGTGCAAAGTGGAACCGAGGGAAATGTGTAGAGAGAGTGCGAGGAGTGTGAATGCCAGCGTGAAAGAGTGGAGCAAGGGAGAGCCTCTGAGGGAGGGGCATGGATGGAGTCTGGGGCCAGTGGCGCCTCCTTTCCCATGGTGGCTGGGCCAGCAGCCGTATGGCCGTGCGCATGGGCCACGTGACTGTCAGGAGACAGGCAGGCAGTGGCATGGCCCTGACTCATCCTGTCCAGGCACCTTTGGGAAATGCTCTCTGCCCCTGTTCCCAGCTGTAGGGAAAGCCCATCTCTGCCCAGTGACCGCAGCTCTGTGGAAGCAGGGACCTGTTCTTTGTCTCATAGCAGGATTGCAGCATCTGGCCACAATGCAAGGATGAGCATAACCGTGCGGACCTGCCCAGGGCCAGCCGCTTGCCAGCTTGCTGGCTCCCACTTCTGTGCTGGCTGCTGGCAGTTGGAGGAGGGTCTGGCTGCTAAGCCAGTTGGCCAGCAATAAAAAGAAGAAACATCTGTCCTTCACCCACCATTCAGATGTAGAGGGGCTGTTGGTGAGTGTACTCAAGCCCATAGGCTGTTGCAGCGGGGTGCATTATGTCCTCGGAAAAGGTCTACACTCAAGTAACTGTGAATTTGACCTTCCTAGGGCTACAGTGTTTAGAGGTGTCAATAAGTTGAAGATCTCAAGAGGAGAGTATCGTGGACTTAGGGTGAGTCCTAAATCCAATGGTAAGTGTTCTCATGAGAAAAGGGAGGGAAGCTGGAGGGACACTTGTGAAGAAAGAGCAGGCAGAGACTAGACTCATGTTGTCCAAACCAGGGAATGCATAGGGGTCACAGGAAGCTGGGCAAGGCAGGAAGGACCCTCTGCTAGAGCCTTAGGAGGAAGCAAGGCCCTGCCTGTCACTAGGTTTTGAACTTCTGGCTTCCAGAACTGGGAGTGGATTCATTTCTGCTGTTTTCAGCACTCATGCTGTGGGCCTTTGTTACAGCAGCTGCAGGGCATGCAGACAGTTGTCCAGGGAGTTGGCCCAGCAGCGCGCCAGCTCCAAGGCTTCAGGAGAGCCAACCTCTGCCTCCCACCATGGTGCATGAGTCCCCAGATCCAAGGTGGGAGTCGAGGTGGGGAGGAGAAAGAGTTCTCAGCTCAGTAAGCAGACAAAAGAGGCTGGGATCAAATCATGATTCCAAGTTTAATGTTTCCTGGAAAGAGCAGTGTGGGGCACAAGAAACAATCGCACAGAGACGCGGCTTGTACAGTCTGACCAGCAGAGGGCCTTCAAAGGGGATTGCTTCAGACCCTGCAACCCAGCAGCCAGGCCCCAGGAAGAGGAGGCACGGGTCAAAACCAAGGATCTCCAGGCAGCAGGAGATGGGGTAGGGACCAAGGACTAGAGCTGGTGAGCAATGCGACCTGAGACCCTGAGCACTCGTGCGGAGTGAGCTTAGGAAGGACTGGCACGGCGTCGGGGAACGGGATGCTGCCCCGGGCAGTCCTGAACAGCCACCGGACACCTGCCTCTCCAGACATTCTGCCCTTCAGAGAGAGAGCTGCAGGCTAGTGGCTAGATTTCTGTTTCCTCTTTGCCCGGGCCCCAGTGAGAACCACAGAAACAAGTAGGAGGGGGGCTTTCCAACGCCTTGCTGATCTCCTTTGTCTTGAAGCCCAGAAAAAGTCCCTGTGTTGCCTTAAGCTGCTGGCGGCAGCAGGGCTGGGTGAAGGTTGCAGTGTCCGGAACAGAAGCTGAGGTGGGGAGGCTGAGCCCACAGGAAACAGGACTGAGGGGGTGTGAGGTGGGTTATAGAAGCCGAACCAAGGCCGTGGTTCTTTTGTGACTGATCCACCTGGGAGAAGGAACAGGGAGCTGATGCCTGAGATGCTGGCATGGGATGCTCCCTGGGGCTTCAGGGTGGCCTGGAGGAGCAGGATATACCAGGAGCTTTGCTCCCCATAGAGACATCTGCAGGCCTGGGGGTCCCTGAGGTCCCCAGACACTGTCAGGAGCCCATAAGCTGAAGCACGCAGGCCGCTTCTGTCAATATAGCATCCCAGCTCCAGAGCCAAGGGCACAGAGTGCGACTGTCCCTCTAGGGAACCAGCACTCAGTGCCCAGGCCCCAGCACCCTATCATGGCTCAGAAAGACCTATGAGTCCTCTCTGAAAGCAATCAGCAAGACAGGGACACCCGCCCAGCTTTCTCTCGAGAAGGTTCATATGTGGCCTAATACAATTAGGCCACATGTGGTCTCCAGGACCCCTGGGAGCCCACCTCCTCCCTTGGCACCCATGTTTCCCCTTTAAATCTGTTCTTGCATGGTGTCTTAGGTGACCTCCAGTGAAAACACACTCCCTAAGAGAGCCAACTGGCTGGAAAAGCAAATGCAACAACACTTTTCTTTAGCCTCCAAGGTTGACTTCATTCCTTTGGAACCTTTAACATTTGCTTAATTACTTCCAGGAGTGGGAAGAGGCCCACTCTGTGGACCATGCAACTCCAGGTCACATAAGGCTGTATACACACAGGGGAGCTGGAGGCCCCACACTGTCCTGCTGTTCATCTGCCCTGAGCTCTCTGCTAACAGCAGTGGCCCAAGCTGGGCCCATAAGGTCATTTTGACTTCTGATCCATCAAGGGTGTCTCGTTGATGCCAAAGCTGGGGAAACAGAGGGCAAAGAAGCCAGGACTAGAGGAAAAGGTGAGGGGGTCAGCCTGGCCTTGGACCCCTGGGTCTGCAGAATGCCGGTGTGGGCAGAGGGCAAGAAGAGAGTAGATCCGCAGTCCCTGGCATGCAGCAGGGGGCCCAGCTAGGGCTCAGTGGCGTGCTTGACCAGGTAGCCGCTGAAGGTGATGTAGGTGTCAAACTCATCGCTGAAGATGGCGTTCTCCCGCTCGCCCTTGAAGAGGCGCACCCACACCTCGTCCTGCTCCCGCAGTTCCAGCATCAGGCTCTGGCTCTGCATGATGCTGCGGTCGCTCACCTGAGCATACAGGATCACCACCTCCTCCGTGTTCCTCATGATGTGCAGGTAGGTTTCCTTCTGGTTCCATGTGTGCACATTGAGGCTGAAGAAGTAAATGCCGGGCACATAGCAGTAGAATCTGCCTGTGAACATGTTAAAGTGGCCGTAGAGGTTCACAAACTCTGTGTCAAAGACCACTGTTTGGTAGTAGTCGTTGCTATGAAGGGGCTTCTTCCGGCCCACTGAGAAGGCTGCGTAGTGGTTCTTGCACCGGTCCCCAGGGGCCCCCATGGAGCCTTTCTGCCCTTTGGGTCCGATGTGACCCCTGGCACCTACAGAGCCTGTCTTGCCATATTTTCCTTGAAGACCACGATCACCTCGGTCGCCCTTCTCACCTACAAGGACAGAAAACACGGGGGTCAGGGAGCAACGTGACTGTCAGCCTGTGTCTGGGCTTCCTGTTTCCAGTCTCAGGCACTGTCCTGATTCCATATCACAGCTCTGAGCTGGCTGGCTTCACTTCTGCCACAACAGCTAAGGCTCCCATTCTGGACACCAGGGTAATTTGATTCCTGAAACAGTTAAGCTATCAGACTCAGTTGCAAGGGTTGGTCTATTTTCATCCGGAAGCAGTAGTTTTGTTTTATTTAGTTTGGTTTGCTTTGGTTTCCTTTCTGGAAAGTCCTGGCAAGGACAAAGGAGCATATGGGTTTGTCCACAAGAACAGGCTCCATAGCCAGTCCCAGGCTCGCTGAGCAAATGGACTGCAGATGTTAGAGCTCAGCTGAGGATCGGGCAGTAAGCACTCCCGGGGGACTGTGCATGGCTGGAGGCTGGAGTATCAGAAAATGCCCTGCGGGCACCAGGCCTCCAAACAAAGACCTCAGAGCCCTGCAGCCCACTCCACCCTGCCAGCAGAAGGGCCCCACAGCCCCAGGCTCCCTCTCTGACTCTGCACTGTGGGCTTCTCTCAGACCTAAATCAAGCAGAGCCTCAAAAATCAGAATTTCCTCCTCACCCACAGGTGACAGCCCTGCTCTGCTCCTGTCTCCAGGGAGCCCAGCCTCACCCTGATCACCCTGCCATCTCCCTCTCAACTGGCAGCCAGCAGTGCCTAAGAGGTGCCCTGCCTTCCCTCTCTGCAGGGACCTGACCTTTCAGGATCGTGATGTTGATCTGGGGCACTGGGATCGCCTGGTACATGGGGGCCACAGGGTCACAGCAGCGAAAGCACCGGGAAGCAGGGAGCTCCTCTTCTGGGCTGGGGCTATGTTTCTCCTGCTTGTCTTCATCCCTGAGGGAATAAAATATCCCAGTGAAAACCATTAACTCGCAGGGCAGGAACGCGCCTTTCTCTGCTGTGTCTCCATCACCCGACCTGCCTCCCTCTTCCTCACCTGTGTTTGCAGATCTAATTAGCATTGGCACAAGACACATTCCAGGACCCGAGCTGAACTCCGGGATGAGGCCCCTGCCCTTGGTAAACAGCAGCAACAGTCGCGGAAGCAATAACAGCACAAGCCCTGGTAATGTAAGGGTTGTGCAAGACACAGGAGACATCACCCTGGGGCTGTGGCCTCGCAGTGACTTACCACAATACCCTATCAAATATCTGTACTTCTGGAAAATTATCTCCTAAGCCGGCTCGTTTGTAAATGAGAGTATTCAACTTGATCTTTAGGGTGCCTTTGCGGGGGCAACAGCTGGGGACGCTTATGTTTCCCGCCTGACATCTACTGGAAGGAAGGCGGGCTAGCAGGAGGAAGGGTACAGCTTCATGATGCCACCGTGCGGCAGCTCAGGGCATTGCACCGTGATCTCGCGTGCTCCGCCTGCCCCATCTCAGTGGCAGCAGCGCCCTTCTCAACCGCCCAGTGCCTAACTGGGCTCCCACCTCCAATCCCCACACAGTCTGGTCAGTGGATTCGCACACCCTCAGCTCAGCCCTCCAAGTGCTTGAACACACATCTCCTAAGCCACGAATCTCCCTTGTCAAACCTCCCGCCAGAGATTCACCAGGCTCCAGGGACGACGCGTGCCCTGAACTGAAACCCTCCGCGTGGCCCTTCACCCAGGAACTTCTCCTTCCAAGCATAGACTCCAGCACCCGCCCAGCGCAGCTCTCGGCCTCATCCTAGATGCCCCCAGGCCGAATTCAGCACCTGACCTGAAGTCCCCCTTGCCTGCTGGTCACAGCCCTCACCATCCCTGGCATCACCCCCAAGGCTGCTCTCCTGGAGTGTACCTCTAAGGCACCAATTCATCCTTTCTAATGCTTCGCTCCACCTTCCCTTCTGGAGAAGCATCAAAGGCGAGCCTTGCTGGACTCCCTGCTGCCTATAGGAAGAATCCAGGTGAGACTCTTCCCTGCTAGACTCAGCTGCCCCAGGCTGATCTTCCTACTTCCATCCGAGGCCGCAGCAACCATCCTTCCCAATCGCCAGCCCACCCTCCGCCAGTAGCTGCACCCTGTACATCTCATGTTGGCAGTTGGGCTGGCTGCTTCTGCTCCCTCGTGTCCTTTTAAGACCCAGTTCACTCTTCTGCTTGGTCTTTCTGGCTCTCTACCTCTCTCCTCACCCCTCCGCCCCCCAGCATTGTAGGAATACCCCTATTACCCAGCCTCCCTCACTGCACGACCTCCCCGTAGTCTTGGTGTTTCCAGAGTCCAGGGGCTTCCACTCACCTGCTTCCCCAGTCCCTAGCCCACAGCCTTTCTGCCATCAGGTCCTGTGTTTGTTGAGTGGAAAAACGAGGAAGGAGAAAGGAATGGAGTCCTTGTCCCCAAACCCTGCCCATTAAAAGTAGCCTAAAGCCTGGCACATCAAGTGGGTTCAATGCTCAGAGTAACAAACCCAAACTCAGCATGGCATTGTTCCCCAGGCCTCTAGGACCACACCATTTGATGGTTAAGAGATTGATGAATATTATGGTTTGTGTCTAGATGTACCCCACCTCCCCCAGAGCCTCACGCAGTCATAGGGCTTTTGCAGAGGAGGTGAATCTAGAGCATATGACCATGTCAATCCACTGATTGGTTTGGCACTGCCCTAACCCGGTAGTCTGCATGAGACAAAAGGGGCAGAAAGATGCCACTAAAGACTTGTTGCCTTGCTGCCTTGCAGGTGCAGTGAACTGTTCTCTGTGAGGCCCCACCGCCACGGGCCGCTCTGCCTTGGGGCCATCCACCTGTGGACTGAAACATCTGCAAATTGTGAGCTAAATAAACCTTTTCCCCCTTTAACTTTGGATGTCAGTATTTTGTCTCAGCAATGAGAGAAAAGTCACTAAACTACCCTAAGCAGCCGTGTATCCCCAGTCACCTGGAGCCTGTACAAAGCTGAAAACAAGTGCCATTCCAAAGTGCCTCATAGTCTTTGAGGAACAGTGACACTTTTTTGTGTGGTCCTCTCTGAAGCTGGGGTCAGAGTGACCTGCTGTTGGTCCAGCGTGTCTCCCAAGGCCACTCATCCCTGCCTCTTGCCTCCAAGAAGAGCCTCATGCTGTAGCTCGCATTCTTGGTGAGAGTGCACAGGCACGGACAGGGCAGCCCGGAGCTGGCTTTGTTCTTTATTTAAGGGCGACACTGCAGCATTCTTGCGGGCTCTGCTCCTCTAGGACCAGAAGGAGGCTGGACTCCTGGCGTCTGATTCAGGAAAGGCATCCAGAGACCAAGGAGAACTGGCTCGTCCATCCTCCCAGGACCAGCCTCCTCAGGTCCACTCCTCAACCTCGGCTCTCACCTCTTTGTGTCTCTGGTGAGCCAGTGCCATGGGGTGCCCCGAGCTCCAGGCTTGACCTGGCCAGAGCCAGGTGCCCACAGCTGCACTGTCACAGCCTCTCACCTCTCAGTGTGGTCCATCGGGGGAGGCGGCTTCTGGGTCCCCTCCTGCTCCTGCAGGTCCTGCTGTCCTCGTGGCATGTGGCTCAGCACTGGGCCCCAAAAGGCCAGCAGCAAGCAGCATCCCAGCACAAGTCCCTGTACCCCAGAGCCCATCTTCCCACTCTGCCCTGATGGAAAATAAGAAGAGGGGAGGTGTCCGGTTAGGAAGAAGCTCCAAAGACACACATCTGAGGAACCTGAGGTGTCATCCAGCCTCAAACACTAGGAGAGACAGAAGCATGGGTACACTCAACACACTTAAACACTTGTACACAAACATACTCACCTGTTCACACATACTCTACCCTAGAGGCATAGCCATTGGGCTGGCATTGAGGTCCCAGCAGGCACAGCACTGTCAGTGCCCACTCGGCCTCTCTGGAGGTACAGGTCATCAGCCCTGAGGAGGCCCCCCCCCAGGTATGATCGCTTACTCCCCTTCTCAGGCCAATGACCAATACTGTAAATGAGTTTTGACCCATCACCATCTGTAAGAAAGCCACACCGGTCCCTCCCTGAGGGAGGAGGGGCAATAACAAGGTGGCTTCCTGCCACCAGGGGTGTGCAGCAGCAAGTGCCCTTTAGCAGCTAATTCAAGGAAGGTCATGGGTCATGAGGTGACTGTTACAGGGAGGAGGTCCCAGGGAGCCCATCGCAGCTGCACTTGGACTTGAAGCCATCAAAGCATCCCTTGCTTTTTCTGTGAGTGGCACCACCAGGGCCACCTGGGCAGTCGGGTGGTCCCCAGGACTGGAGTCGCCAGTCACCAAGCTCAGCTATTCCATGCAGGCTGCAGAGGACAGTGGTCGATTCTAAGCCTCTTGTATTCACCAAAACATAAAGTTTGACACCTCTAAGTATTTATGAGGACACCTGATTCAATCATCTCTGTTGCCCGGTGAGTAAACCGAAGCCCAGAGGATCACCCTGTCCTTCAATTCCTTGGGTGTGTACTGAAAATAAATTAAAATCCTGAGGAGGATTTTGCTTTGTTGGTAATCTCAGACCCAGGTGAACACTGCTTTAACTCATCCTAGGGAGCTCTGGTGTCGTCTCTACCTTTCCTTGGTTGCAGCTTTCTCTCCATACTCACTGCCCTGGCTGCAGACTCCTGGCATCTCTGCTCCCTGAGACCCCCATGCCCAGCCACAAGAATGCAGCAGCAGAAGCTGTGGCCAGGACCCAGTGCTCCTGTGCAGCCTAGGTGTGCAGGTTTTGAGAAGAAGGCTGGTGCAGAGGCACACATACCAACTTCTGCCTCTGTGTCCCTTCTGTGTCCCCCACCGTCCACTGCATGGGCTTCCACCCCCAGTAACCAGCCAGCTATCCTGCCCAGGTGTTAGGGCCCTGGAGATTTCCCAGTGACTGCCCCCAGAAAGCCTCTGACACTGACTTACTACTTGCATGTGTGTATATGTCAATTTATAAATAAGCATATATTTAAATTATCTGCCTGCCTATCTATTCCACCCATCCATCATCCATCCCATCCATCCATCCATCCATCCATCCATCCATCCATTGCCTTTCCAGGCTCCTGGGCAGCGGGCAGCGCATGCATGATGTTCCCTAGGCTGATCCCACTCTGCACATCCCTGCTTCTGTGGTCCTCACCCACTCTTCCCACTGTACAGCGCACACCAGGCACCCTTGTGAAGGTACTGCCCGTGACTCAGTGAATCCAGGGCAGATCCTTGGGATTCTGGTGCTGCCTGAATTCCTGGAGTGCTGAACCACATTGCCCACCAGGCTGGGGACACCTCACAAGCCTGCTGCCCAGCACCTGTCCACCAGCCCGCTTTCTTCCTCCTGGAGCAGGGACTCTGTTTGTCCTCCTTTCTTTGCTGATGACTGGACTAATAGGACCGACTCCTGCACCAGGCACTGCGCTAAGCATCACTTCCAGGAACCCTTGCCACCCTATGAATTAGGGTCGGGTGTGAGGATGCTCCCTCGCCCCTCATTTCAGTCTCATCAGAGACCTCAGGCAGACCTGTGGCAAATCGCTGAAGGAGAAAAATATTCATTTGTTGTTGTAATAGCCAATCTATAAGTGAGAAAGCAGAGACCTAGAGAAGTGAATTAGCCGAGTACTCTCCAGTTCATTGGTGACCAGGTGCACTTGGACTCAGATGGCTGATTCCAGGAGACCACAAGTTCTGCCTGCCCTGTCAGGACGCCATGACAGCATGTCGTGGTCTTCCTGCAGCCTCCCCCGACTCCAGCCTGCGAAATCCACTCTCCTTCCTGATTTTCTTTTTCATATTGTCCAAAATTGTAGTGTTTTACTTGGCCTACACAGTGGGCCAGTGTGACCTCCTCCTGGGCTGTGATGTCCCCTGTCCTGCCTGGATCAGGCAAGCATCTGCAGCACCTTGGGATTCACTGGTCCTCAACAAATATTTGTCAAGCTGAGTTCTCTACATTTATTTATTTCTCTATTTCTGTATTTCCTGTTTTTCCTTACCACCTTAATAATTGCTCTTTTTCCCCCTTTTGATGTTCCTCTCTTGTATTTTTTGGGTTGTTTGTTTGTTTGGTGCAGGAAATCAAACTTGCCAGGCAGGTGCTGTGCCACTGAGCTATATCCTAGGCCCAAGTTTTCCTTTCTTTCAACTCTTTTTTCTGAATCTAAAATAATCTATATGCATTTCATACAAGCTGGGAAGTGATAATAAAAGGAAATACAAAGTTCCCTTGGATCATCCTACCTCAGGGTGTTGGCCATGGCCCTTCCAACATCGGGGTGAGACACCTGGGAGTCATGCCTATCATTGTAGGACACAGGCTCTGTTCACTAGATGCCACTAGATCCTCCCTCAATATGACAACCAAAAATGAAGATATATCTGTCCCTGTGGGACTAAACTGTCCCCAGCCAAGAACCACTGCTGTGTTCCCAATGGAATCATCCTTGGGCTCGGTTGGGAAGTCTCTTTCAGGCCTGGGAATGGAATCTTGTACACCTTGCTGAGAAGCGATGAGCCCAGAGTGTAGCCAGGCTACCAATGAGAGCACAGTAATGGAGGTGGCACAGGGGACAGTGCTGCTGCCAGGCAGAGGCTCAGGCTAGTGGACAGGCTGCCATTCTTCTGCCTGTAGCCAAAGCAAACCCAGATGGAAGTCTTTCCTTCTTCAAGAAGATCTTGAGAACCATGTTACCAAATCCCACCACGAAGTCAGCATGATGACATTTTAGTGACCTTTGGGCAAGAACCGTGTTGCCTAACGGCTAGCCAAACCTGGCCTCAGACCACTGTTAGTGATTTCCAGCAGAACAAAGTCTCCCTACCAAGGGTGAAGCTTCGCCCAGTGAAACTATCTGGAAGAACAGGCTCCGCACAGCAAAGCCAAGGCTAGGGAGGAGGCCCAAGACATCCCGGCCGGTGCCAGGCTGCCCTCGTAACCCAGGTCCATGTAGGCCTATCCCCAGGCTGCGTTGTAGCCAGAGTAGATAGACTGTTCCAGCATGACTCAGGCCTTGCCTTTCCCTCACCCTGGGAGCACGAGCCCAATCCCGTGCTAACTGTCCTCATTTCTCCCACCACGTCCCCCAGGACCTGCAATGCAGCTCCTCTGCCCCCTTTTCAACCCATCTCATCTACCTCCACCTTGACCTGCCCCCAACACGAAGGAACCCCCACACCCCAGGAGGAGAAACTCAGCAATTCACAGGCCCTGGAGGAGGGCAGGAAGTCTGAGGACACTGCTGGGTAGGGAGCTTTATCCCACAACTCCTACAGACACGTGTGAGTCCTTCAAGGAGACTGTACTCACACGCAGGTCAAGATTCCTTACATGTGTTTAAAATCGGGCTTATGGGCTTTGGCCCACATGCGCATGGCCATACCAGCATGTTGACACAGCCCCCTAGAGCGCAGAGACTGCCTGCTTGGGTTTTGCCTCTGTGCCCTTCCCAGCCTGGTGCCATTTGACCAAAAAAAAAAAAAAAAAGCATTCTGTAAAGACTGTTTTCTTTCTCTAAACCTCATGGGGTAAGTAAGTAGTTGTTCTGAGAGTCGAGAAGCCTATAATCTCCTTGAATTGAAAGGAGCCGGGGAAGGCAAGTCTGAGCTACCCTCTGAGCTGGCAAGTTAACCCAGGCATGGTGCGCTAAATCCTCCTGATTTGCATGGCCTTGTGCAAGAGATGGAAAGGAAGTGATTCAAGCACCAGTTAACTACATTCCCTGACCTCAAGAACATTGCAATCCAGACAAGGAACCAGACATGTACTAGTTAGAGCTCAAGACTGAATGGCCAGAGATGGATCACCGTGGGGAGTGGACTAGGGGATAGCTCAGCAGGACAGCCACTTGCCTTGCCTGTGTGAGGACCTAGGTCCCATCCCACCATCACAAAATTTTTTAAAAAATTCCAAGTTGAGGTCCCTGATTACAGTAGCCATTTTCCAGCCCTGGACATGGACACTTGGCACATGGCTATCATACTGGAAAGCATAAAGCAAAACATTTCATTCTCGGCAGCAACCTCTGTTGGACAGCTATGTTCTAGATTGCTATGAAGCCACAGCAGGCAGAAGCCTGGGAGACATCAGATGCCCTCCTCTCCTGCCTGCGGCAGGTGTACTCTACCTCCAGCCTCCCTCAATAGCGCCTGACTGTTGCCTCTCCTTTCCACCACTGGCCTGCATCAGGTGCTTCCTGGGGGCTCTGGTCATCTCCTAGACCTTATCTTTGCCTGGCTTTTTCTAGGGCTTGGACCCTCCCCCCCCCCAAAGATATGCATGTGCCTTGCAAGGAAGCTTGGCAGAGAGCAGGATTTTCTCCCGCACCTCATGGCCTGTGGGTCAAAGGTGCCATTTAGTGTAGCATCAGATCCGTCCTAGTTTCAGCACAGTGCCACTGACTGTCCCCTGTGCCCACCTCTCTTACCCCTGCCTGGCCACCTCTGCCTCCCAAAACCCTCTCCCCACTGTGGAGTTCTGGGCCTGCTCACTGTCTGCCGGAATGCCTGGTGGGGCTCTCTGAACAGTATAGACCTCTCCAGCAGCTGCAAAACAGGGCATAGTGCTGGGGTACCAAGAAGGAAAAAGTGCCCTTTGCAGTGTTCCCCTGAGCCTCATGGCCATCAGAATGTCCTCACATGGGACATATGCTCTCAGCCCT